GGGGGGGGGGGGGGGAATTTGGGGGTTAGAGACCCACCCCATTAAAAAGGGGCCAAGGTTGAAAAACACTGGTCTATGGTAACAAAAAAATCAGGAGGAATCTAGTAGCCCCCTTTCAGACTAACCCATTTTATAAAAAGGCAGACATTTAGAGGCATGGAGTGGTTAAACTAATGCAGAATTCAAATTGAGATGAGGCAGGGAGAAGGAGGAGAGGTGTTGATGCAGGCTCCATGTGAGGAAAGTTGCCAGAACCTGGTTTATTAGCAGTTGGAATGTGTTAAAAACCCGGTGTGTTTGTTGAGACCTGGGAAGTTTGTTCAAACTGGGAAGTTTGTGAATGTGCCCGAGTTCAAGTTTCTAGCCCTCATGGCTTGCCAGGTTGCGGTGTTCTAGAGGGAATCTGATGGCTTTCTTCCTAGCCATGATGAAAGATGGAAGTAGGTCTCCTCTGAGGACGTCACCGATTTCTTCAGGATGCAGAATTTTACAAAGAGACCCCTGAAAACTGCCAAGAAGTTCAGAATCGGAGCGCCTGGGGCTGGGGTGTCTGCCCAGGGAGGGGTCAAAAAACGTCCACGGTGCAATTGGAGCCCCACCTCTTTTTGCATGTCACCTGTAAAACCAGGGCAGGACTTAATCTGGGAGCTGAAGTCCACCCATCTTAAAGTTGCCCAGGTTGAGGAACACCGGTCAATATCATACACCGGCAGATGAAAAAAAATGAGACGTTTCCCCACTAAGCTCGTTTCCGTGCTGACAAAAAGCCTCAAAACCCGGCTTCTTCCCAGGCTTACCATGGCCAGTTCTGTGAACCGCGTGGAGCTTCTAATATTCAGTGCTTACGTTCCTCTCCTGGGCTTTCTCCAAAAAGCTCAAGGCATGGTTCTGCATGACCGGAGGAGGGACGGGTTGGGATGGACAGAGGGGCCGAAGGCGATTCGGTCAGCGTCGCGTAGATGTGAGATTTGTTCTTGAGCCTCGAGAGCCTTTGACAGACAGCCTGAAGACGGGAGATGTCTTTCTTTGCGCTCTGGCAAATGGTTTCAGCGGACTTGGGGGACTCCAACCAGGAACGCTTTCTCTGTTGGCCGTCGGCAGCGGTGCTGGAACGAAAAAGAGCAGGTTTGCACAGACGCGGCGATCGAAAACGCCACAGCCCTGGAATTCGGTACCTCTGTTATTTGCTCCATTACTTAAACCTGGCATTAATTGTGAGTTGGAAGAAACCTAGCATTAGCATCCAGAACAGCAACAAGGGTGTAATTAATTATCTAGGTGTTTATTGCTTTCCGCTCGTCACGAGGATTTGGGCTGTCCGTTGACATCCACAAAAACAAAGGCGGACTGTTTTGAAAGAGGGTGAAAACGGCTCACCTGTGCCCTTCTGCCGTTTCCTGGGATGAGCGTGCGGCCCCAACACCCCTCCCTCCGTGTTTTTATTTTGCTCCACGAGGCTTCTTGGCGTTGTGGTAATGCAAAAGGTTTTGCTCCAGCCTTTTGGAATGAAACCTTTTGGATTAATGTTCCAGTATCAGCAGGCAGCAGCCTGGTGACCTGTCACAGCTGAGAAGCTAAGCAGGGTCAGTGTGGGGTGATCTTTGGATGGGAGACTACTGGGGCTGCGGGTTGGAGCTGGAAGTCAGAAAATAGCTCAGGGGAAGGCTGCGGCAAGCTACTTAATATTCTGGCCAAGAACGGTACATGGACGTGTCTGTGGAGTCACCAGACGTGGAGTTCAGCTGATGGGTGGTGAAGTGCCCCTGAGATACAGTACATTTAAGGGACTAGAATTTGAATTAAACTTGAGGGCATTCCCTCCCTCAAATGACAGGACATGGCGGTAGGGCATTTGGAGGAAACTAACATTGGGACTGGGGGCTGTTGAACTTTTTAGCGTGTCCCCCCCATCCTGTAAAACCTGGCCCACCTCCAAAAGCTGAAGGTAGGAAGGCTGGTCGTGGAACCTTCTGTGCCTGCAGGGAGAGATTTGGAAATGGAGGTGTTTGCCAGAAGAATAGGAGCTGCGTTGGGATATCCCTTGTGGGTCAAAGCTTTCGCTTAAGGTAGAAAGGCAGGGGCTGAGTGATTCCTTCACCTGGGACAATTACTCTTTGGATGGGCTGTACTGCCTCAGAAGGATCGTACATGCAGCTTTCAGATGTTCTGGGCCCATCTTTGCTGCTGAGGGCCGGGTGACCTTGGTGGCTGGACCATTGATGGTCAACAGAAGCTGGAACTGGGCCCATTCCTGGATAATTCAGCTACAGTGATTCCGGCATTGTATCTCCAGGACTAGATTCCTGTAATGCAGTGTTTCTCAACCTTGGCAGCTTTCAGATGGGTGGACTTCAACTCCCAGAATTCCCTAGCCAGCATGGGCGTTGAAGTCCACCCATCTTAAAGCAGGCTGTCTGGGGAAGTCTGGGAGTTGAAGTCCACCCATCTTAAATTTGTCAAGATTGAGAAATACAACCCTAAGGTCACACTTACACAGCCTTCCAGGGAACTACATTCTTACTACATTCTCCAGGGAACATCGTCCTCCTCATCTGTAGGCCATGGTCTGAGAACTCCTGCTTTGCGATGATGCAAACGCAGTCCTCCATCATGGAGGCATCTGACCTCCGCTCTGCAGGATGCCCGGCACCAATGCTGAAAAGTTTGGGGGGGGGGGTCTTTTAAAATCCACTTTTGTGAGTATTGGCCTTCTTCATCCATAAATTGCACCCCCTCCCTAGTGTTTCTCATCTAATGGCTTATTTGAAGTTGGGCTTAATCTTGGTTTTCCACTGTTTTTACTCTGTGTTGACCTAGCTGTTGTTTAGAAAGTTTTATTGTTTTGTAAACTGCACTGGAATTTTCTGTAATGAGAGATGGTGTAGAACTACTTTGAAAATGAATGAATGAATGAATGAATGAATGAATGGGAGGGAGGGAGGGAGGGAGGGAGGGAAGGAAGGAAGGACGGAAGGAAGGAAGGAAGGAAGGAAGGAAGGAAGGA